TCAGCTCAAATACAATTTTTTTTTTTTGCAAAAATCAAACGAGGATATAATTGACTAAAACCAATTTTCCAAATATTTAGACAATTAAATGACCCACCTAAAATTAAATTTTGTAAATTTTTCAAAATGTCAAAATAGCTGAAAATTGATTTCCCCTCTATTTAAACAATTAAAATGGACAATAAAAAAAATTGGCCCATAGGGCAAACCGACAAATGGAGCCTAAAACCCAAATTCCAGAAATGAACAATGTTTTTTAAGACCAAAATGAGCCCCAGTAAGCCACCATTTCTCCAATAATCAAGCATTAGAGTTTTCCTAAAGTCAAGAGAAACAGAGACCCAAAATGGTGACAAAAGGGATTTATGAATTGAAAACATCAAATTGAAGGCGCAAATCACAATCTGACTGTGCTGGAAATAATTTTTTTACAAAAAGTCCAAAAACTGAAGGGGCCATTCTAAGAAAAAGTGAAAAGCCCAGAGAACCAAAAGCCCAGGTTCCGATTTTCAGAAATTGAAATAATTACCAACGGAGATTGGGTCTAGCGTAAAGGACTAGCCCTCACAATATGGCGAACCAAGATTCAAATCCCCACTGAGAGAGTTGTCCACATTTAATGTCCGATAATACCTCAAATAGGATTGCTTCTAATAGGAAGATACTTATGTTTTAGCAAAAAAAGAAATTGAAATAATTTCTATGGCCCAAAACATTTTCTAAAAGTAAACCAAAAATGCCCCAGACTTAATGAAAGCCCAATCTGGAAAATTAAAATAAAACCAGAAAACAAACACTCTTCTGCACAGCCCAGTTAAAATGCCCAAACTGGAAACCCAAAACAGAGAGCCCAACTTGCTGAAAACAACACACAACGTAAGAGAAAATATTTTGCAGAAGCCCAAATCTTAGGGCCCAATTTGGAAATAAAAAATAAAGGCAAATGAAATAACACAAATGCAGAACCCAAAACCTTAGGCCCATAACGATGCAATCAACAGAATAAAATTATTGTAGCAAGCCGAAATGAGACTCCAATATGCTTTCGCCCAGCTCCAGGAACTAATGAAACGGTGTGTTTCATTCTGAGCAAAACAGCAACGCGTTGTTGCATTTTGGGTCATCTGCTGCTCGATGGAGTCGGGTTAACCTACCCGACTCCTGACCAGCGAAGAAACCAAATTGCAAAGCCGCCGCAGCCAGCAAATTCGTGCGGCGTTTCAGGTACCGTTCTTCAGTGTGCGTGAAATCAAGAACAAGAATAACAAGAAGTCAAGAAGTCTTTAAGCCATCAAAGCATGGAAAAGAGCTTTAAAAAAATAAATAAATAAACAAAACAAAACAGATATCGACTTTGAGGATAATCTCCGTTCGTCGGCCATGGAATTTGACAGCAAAGACGTCGGCAATTATTAGAGAATGATACTACCTCCAGTCTTTTAAGTAAAAAGGCCAATTGAGTAATTTGAGCAGATTAAAAAAATAAGTTAAGTTAGTTATTTGTAATAAATAGATATTGTCTTTTCTAAAATATCTTTACTAATCAAGTTTATTGGCTAAAAAAACTATTATTGGAAAGTCTATCTTAAGGAAAAATGATTAAATATGAGGGGTAAAATAGATTGGGGTTTTATATTTAGGACCAAAATAAAAATGAAATAAGGTCTAATATTAAGAACTAGAGGTAGTATAAAACATTCTTCTCCTTGTCACAGGCTCGACAACATCACAGACAACATAAAACTTTCCAAAATCCGAAAACTTATGTGTATATATTACGATTGAAACAAACGAAGAACATAGACATAATGTTACTGTAGCGTCTTCTCAAAATATTATTAAATAATAAAATAGATAGATCTCATATATAAAAATAGCAAACAGAGGGAGATCTGACACCAGGCTCTGATGCCACATGTTAGAACAAACCATATGAACAAAATATTTATCCAAGTAATCATATGGAATTTTACAATTATATAAATACATCTCGTCATGCTAGATGATCTAAAGAAGCAACCAACAATACTCATAATTTAAATTTGGATTAGAACAACTGAAAACATAGAAACCTGTTAGTAGAAAGAATGTTAGAATTCTTCTAACTGGAAGGTGGGCATGATGATGAAACTAATAAGAGTCGCCACTAGTTAGGGAACCCTCAAAAGTAGTAAATTAGGTTTTCTCTCTCTTCACTTACTCAGTCAGCCATCAAAAACTTAACTTACCATCAAGATCAATAAATAACTAAAAAGGACCGAGTCTAAAAAATCCTAACTGAGCCTAATTGATTAACAGACCAGACTCAATATTTTAATGAAAACAAAAAATAATATTATATAATATAATATAAAATATATAATTAAAATATCTTACATTATTGACCTAATCGAAAGCTCATATCCATCAATATTTTCTAATTGTCGTTACTTTGAGTTGTTATAAAAAGGAAAAATTGCAAAAAAAGACTTTAGAATTGCAAAAACGTAGATAGGAGACCCTTGACGACTTGATTTTGGGTTTTGACAACTTTATGACATATTATTATTATCAAAACCCAAAGTGAAGTTGTCAAGGTCCCTATCTGCGTTTTTGTAATTCCAAGGTCTTTTTTTGCAATTTTTCCTTATAAAAATGTGTCGGTGATAAAAATATCAAAAGATCAAGATTTACTGAAGGGCATTTGCGTGAACTATTTGAGACATGGCAATTACATGTCATGGGCTTTATTACAATGTTTTATTTGGTAATTTATGAAATATCATGAAAATATCTTCACTCAAGCAATAAGCTGTATGTTTAAGGATTTTATCGCTTTGATTCTCCTATAATATAACATTATCATCATATATGTTTAAGGATTTTATCCTTCTTATTCTCATATAATATGACATTATCATAATTATTTCCGACAAGTCTACCTTGTTAAGGCGAACTTTGAAGACAAAGGTAAAATGTAGTAAGATAGGACTTAGAATAAAGAGCAAGGAAACACAACTAAAAAAAAAAAAAACTTTAATTTGATGGTTATATGTTGGTATATATTTTATTTGACAATTATTTAACTGTGATATGATCTCACAGAAATCTCACAGAAATACTACTTCTAGTCCAAAATGTAAGATTTGATTTATAATATTTTTTATATTCGGGTCTTAGAAACAAGAGTCTCAGCGGAAACAATATTATTTTTATTCACTATATTACTTATCACCATGTATGCACTTTAGGGTAAACATAGAGAAATGAACAAATCTATAACAAGTAAATCAACAGTTATTGACTTTTTCGTATTTTAAAATGGCATTAGATTATTTTGGTAATGCAAACAATAAGCCGTCTTATTGTGTTTTAAATCATGATTTCAGCTTGCAAATTGAAGCATTTAGAAAATTTATATTTCAATTTACTGCAATATAATATTGAGTCATGATATATAGATCAAGCTTATGAGTATATTTTAACTCAGACTGAGTAAATATATAAGAAAGTAAATAATTTGAAATATCAATGTAATCAATGGATTGTATTTCAGAACATCTGATTATACCGAATCATTTCTTGATCATTATGGGCTTTCATGATTTGAAAAATAATCTCCTCTGTTTGCTTAAAATATTTCAAACTTCTTCGGCAGGAAATACGTACTTTAATTAGTCTATACAGTGATTTCTATAATTGCTCATATATTCCATACTATTAATATCTAATTGATATGTTCATCTTAAACAATACTCAATCCTTCATAAAAATTTGATATATTGCGCACTATTTTAATCCTGTACGTTAAGTTCAAGTCATTAACGTATTAACTAAATCACAATCACAAAGTCACAACCGTCAAATCTTGTAGCATCAAATAGTCCAATTTGTGTAGAAGTGAAAGAAGAAAATAGTAAACCAGAGAGCGTAATTTAACTGATATAATCGGAATATGCGAAGCAATTTAGTACTTTATTCCTTGGCACTCGTTACAGGGCAATGCGTGGAGTTATATTTGAACAGAGAAAACAATATAGATTACTTGTTTTTCCTTTGTTTAAGGTAAAACTAAGGGCATAACAGATAAGATGTCCAACATGGGGCTCACAGAGGTATTAGCACGTAGTATTATGAGGTGAACAGTACGACTTGGGCAGGAAGCCAAATGAAACTGGAAGGGAGAACAAGGTGCAGGTAAAAGAGAACACAACATACTACTTTGGTTATTCCAAAAATATATAAATGAAGTTACATGAGGAAAGAATATTGATTTTGCATGCGTATCTTACAACACAAGATCGTTGCATGCATCTGATTTATTTATTACAGAATAATAATGGATGGGCAGCGGATAGTGTGTTTAGTTATTATCGTACCATTGCTGCTTTTGAAGATAGGCAATAATGTTCTGGTCAACTTGGAAGGCTTTAGTGAGAACGTCACGCGAGATGGGAGGAGTGGATCCAAACACAGCCTTAGCAATAGTAATGACTCCTGGATTTTGGCTACTGAGACTAGAAAGTGCCACAGCATTGTCGTGGCCGACGTTGAGCTGAAAATGAATCATACCGAAGGGAAACACAAACACATCTCCTTTGTTGAGTACTTTGGTAAATAAACGATTGTCATTTTGATTGGAAGCCACAAATCCAACTATGAGAGTTCCTTCCAAGACAGTCAGCACCTCAGTGGCACGAGGGTGAATGTGGGGAGGATTCAGACCATAGGGAGCATAATCGATTCGAGCAAGGGAGATACCAAGAGTATTGAGTCCTGGGAATTCATTTACAGACACTTGAGTTACTTGGGAGCCCAAAGGGTTTGATGTGTTGCCTTCCATTATGTGGAAGAAGAAGTCATCTGCTTTCACAAGCTTGGGATCTTTGCAGAATTTCCCATTTACAAATACTGCACAAAACCAATTCAATATTGCTAATCAATGACAAGAAACATGGAGAGAGATGCAATATATACGGTATTATGTGTGTGTACTTACCTCCAAGTTTGGTATCATTGACGCCCACACAGAAATCTTGAAGAGGGCTGGGATCGTAGGCAGAAGCAAAGGAGGAAGCCAAGGCCAAGAGGGCAAGAAGTGAGAAAAATACTGAACCTTTCATCTTTCTCAAATCCTTTCTTTAGCTTCGAATTGTGTGTTTGTTGTGACCAAATGTTTTGTTGTTGTAATCTATTTATAGCTCAAGAGAGGAGCCCTCATTGTTGAATTAGTATTATTTTTTGTTTCGACTTAATCAAAACAAATGTATCCACATTGTAAGGTATCAATTATTGATATTATCTTTAGTCCATGGCTGGAGGCGTTCAACGGTTAGCAAATTGGACGTATCATTTTACTTACCTAACATATCATAATTGCTATATTTTAAAATTATATATCAATATTTGAATTCTTCGTTGCGAATACTGTTTCTCATCAGTAATATAACTTATTTAGAAAAAAAAAGTACTTTTATGCATCAAAATATTTTGGTGTTGGTCACCCTTCCCTTCCCTATGAGGAAGAGTATGAAACTATGAATAGGATAGTCAAGAAGGAAAAAAGGAAAAGAAAAGATTGTGAAGTTTGTATAATAATATATAATTGATTGACCCCTTCGAGGACGCAAGTTAATTAAGACTTGGTAAGGTTTTCACTATTCAGATGGTTTAATTTATTCCCATGACCCTTTCGTTCTACTATTCTCCACGTAGTTGTAAATATTTGATTATTTTAACTTTTCATCTTTCGTTGACGTTCTTTATTTTACAAAATAATAATACTAATAATATTGCTAAATTCTTGCTACTTACTTATATTCACAGTTTTTTATTCTTTCTGTTATTTCTTGTTTTAGAAAAGTCTACAACTGAAATTTAAATTTACAATCGTAATGCCACCAATGTTAATTTAAATCACAATTGAACGTAATTTCATGTCAACTTTCATGTCTTAAATTTTCATTTTTCTGCACATGTATGTGCATACACACACATAAAGTCATTACAAACTTTATTTGCATACACTTGAGAAGGTTTAATATAAATATATATTACAATTTTTACAAAAGAAAAAGGAAAAAATAGTTGATAAAGGGTTGGATTAGGTTTCGATACAGTATTATCATTGATCTAATCAGAAGTTCATAGCCATCAATATTTTCTCAATGTAAAAATGTTTGGGTGATAAAAACATAAAAAGATCGATACGTGAATTATTTGAAACATGGCCATTAAAATGCTTTGTTTTGTAATTTTTCACATCATTCATTAAAGTACTAAGCTGTATGCTTAAGGATTTCAACGTTTTTGCTCCTACAAAGTATAAATTAGATTTTATGGTTAATTAGGGTTTAACTTTCTCATCATTATTTGATGGTTATTTAGTTTTCATCTGATCTCACATAAAGAGCAAACACTGCTGCTAATATGCTAAAATTTGACGATTATTTCATTTTATACAAATTTATTTTTAACATATTCCATATGATGGTTATTTAGTTTTCGTATGATCTCACATAAATATGACAGCTGCGCACGTGTGATAAGTGCCATATCTTGTAATTAATTATGTTCAGATTTTGGATATATTGAATTAAATTTATAAATATTTTATAACCATTTAATTCACTATACATATATTAAACCAAATTTTCAGGGTAAAAAGTACAAAATTTACTTTTGTAGGAAAAATAAAATAAATTGAAAAGTGGAAGAAGACTTGGACCCACATGAGATTTGGAAAGAATAGGATCTTAATTGTATTTTTCTCTGACAAAAAACTAATATACCAATCTTTATAATTTTATAAATTTTAATCAGGTCCCTATACTATTTTAGGACTGTCAAAAGGAAATGATAAATCTAAAAGTTAGTGTAAAGCTTAAGCAAGAAAGGAGATAAAGATGATGATGATGGTGGGCAAAGCTGCAAAGGAGGGGAAGAGAGAAGCTGAGAGAGGAGATGGTCACGCTCACATCATCCAAAAGTAATAGCGGACTAGCACCAAAATTGAGTAAAGAATAACAAATTAATTCTCATTTCTCAGAAGTCCAAGGCCAGAAGGAAACTGCAGATGAGCAGAGCAGGGATCAATAGCATGATCATAATTTTATCCAAAAACGAAGGGTCTGCAAAAATTTTAATGAGCTCGATTTTTAAAAAAAGAAGTTAAAAAAGTGAGATTACAACCTTTTAACTGATTTTTCTTATTCTTTTATCTTATATCTTTTCCTTATTAAACTTCTATAACACTGCTTCTCAAAATTTTTTAATCCTTTTTTGAAATTGATTTCCTTTATCTTTTCTTTATTCTTTAATTTATTGTGGTTCTTTATTATGATTCAGAATTTTAGAACGGTGTCAATTATTAATTTATTAATATGTTTTTAAGAATAATTCGTTATGAGATTTCAGAATTTTGAAAATAATCACTTGTGTTTGCTTAAAATATTTCAAATCCGATCCTGTCAGCTGAAAACGGGAGGAGACCTCTTCTCTTCCCTTCACATCCTCTTCTTTTTTTAACAGTTAGATTAATACTTTTCAATGGCTCAGATTTTAATATCTTTAAAAACATCTTATAAAATATTTTTAAAAACATTTAGTGCATTTGTAAACTGTCAAATTTAACTTTCAGTTTTTTATTTTTTATTTATTTATTTTTATAACTTAATATTTTAATAATAATGTAAAAAATTAAAATCTGAACTATTAAAATGTTGATCTAACTGTTAGAAAAAGAAGATGGAAAATGATGGGAAGAAGAGAGGAGAGGAGGTCGCCTCCCGCTGAAAACACTACATGACTATACAGTGATTTTTAGGATTCTTCATACATTCTATACTGTTGATATCGATTTGATAAATTCGTTTTAAATTTGTGTACTATTTTAATCACACGTTAAGTTCACTCACCAACGAGTTAATGAAAAAATCGAATGGAAATTAAAGCACTGTCCAATCGAGCCAAGTCAACAGAATAACGTGACTGTCAAATTTCAAAGCATAATCCAAACCAAATTCTGCAGTTGTGAAGGAAGAAATAATAAACGCGAGTTCAGTTATTATTATTCCAAAAGTAATAATTTTTCGGATAGAGGATGTGTTTTTTATAAGTTACTTTTTGTACTTATTTAAAAAGTTAATTTATTTTTCCCTTTTATTTCTCCCTCCTTTTTTTTTCCTTGTCCATTGTCTCTCATCTTTTCTCACTCATTCTCTTTCTCACTCTGTCCCAGAAGTACATAAGATATAAGACGTTTCGCTTTTCAGAGCTGTAAGTAGTATTATTGAGGTGAACATCACTTAAGGAGGAAGCATAAAATCGGAAGAGGGAACAACGTACGAGATAAAAGAGAACACACATATTTAATTATGCATAAATATATGATCGAGGTTACAACATGAGGAAAGAGACTTGGTTATGCATGCATGCACGCACGCACATCATATAATTAAGGTTACAACATAAAGCTGCTTGCATATTTATTTATTTATTATTTTATTACAAAATAGATTACTTAGTTATTGTCGTACCATTGTTGCTTTTGAAGATAGGCAATTATGTCCTTGCTAACTTGGAAGGCCTTAGAAAGAACATCACTAGAGATGGGAGGTTTGGATCCAAACACAGCCTTTGCAATAGTAATGACTCCTGGATTTTGGCTACTGAGACTAGAAAGGGCGACGGCATTGCCATGGCCGACGTTGAGTTGAAAGTGAATCATAGCAAAAGGAAATATAAACACATCTCCTTTGTTGAGTACTTTGGTAAAGAAACGGTTATCATTTTGATTGGAGGCCACAAATCCCACCATGAGAGTCCCTTCGAGGACAGTCAGCACCTCAGTGGCACGAGGATGAATGTGGGGAGGATTCAAACCATAAGGAGCATAATCGATACGAGCAAGGGAGATACCAAGAGTGTTGAGTCCTGGGAATTTATCTACAGACACTTGATTTACTTGGGAGCCCAATGGGTTTGATGTGTTGCCTTCCACTATGTGGAAGAAGAAGTCTTCCGCTTCAACAAGCTTGGGATCTTTGCAAAATCTGCCATTCACAAATACTGCACAAAACCAATTCAATATTACTAATCAATGACGAGAAATATAGGGAAAGATACAATATAAATGGTGCTGTGTGTATACTTACCTCCAAGTTTGGTATCATTGACACCCACACAGAAATCTTGCAGAGGGCTAGGGTCATAGGCAGAAGCAACGGAGGAAGCCAGGGCCAAGAGGGCAACAAGTGAGATAAATACTGAACCTTTCATCTTTTTCAAATCCTTTCTTTAACTTCTAATTGTGTGTTTGTTGTGACCAAATGCATTTGTGGTTGCCATCTATTTATAGCTCAAGATAGCAGCCGGCCCTTTGAGTTAGTATTCATATAATTTTTGGTTTTCCGATTTAATCACAAGGAAATATATCCACGTTAGCCAATCAAATATTAACAATGTAAGTAAAATTTGACTTGGACTATTCGTCAGTCTTCTTCTTCACTAATCTAAGCCGCCTGAAGTTACGAGCATATTAACGTGTCAGTGATTGGTTCCTAGAACAAGAGATAAAGAAATAATAAAGAAAGAAAGAAAGAAATGTGGGGCACATGTAACGTAACGTGGCAGCTTATGTTAGTTTCCTTCAGCCTTTCAATAACTACTCCAGTAATTAATCCCTTGTTCTTTATCTTTACCCCAGGCTTTAGGTGGATAGTCTTAATCAACTACTCCCTCCGTGCCATACTATAAGCAATATTGGAGCTCATCACGTAGATCAAAATATTAGTTAAAATTAGTTAAAGACAATAAATGTGTAAAAATTAGAAGTTTTTTCTCTCACTAAAATGCCCTTATTTATGGAGGGAGAGAGTATAAGAGAGAGAATAAGAAAATTATTATAATAAAGAGAATTATAGAAGAGAAAAAATGTGTGATGGAGAGATGATGGTTTGAGAATTGAGATAATAAATATATTGAGTATTAAAATAAGTAATTAATGAGGGCAAAATAGAGAATTTGTTACAAAAATATAAGACGACTTGTAAATTTTGCTTATATTTAG